GCTTTGACTTCTTCTTATTTCCTCCTTTCTTCTTCTTCTTCACACTCTTCTTCTTTTTCTTTTTGGGTTTCTCACCCTCATCTTCCTCACATCCAGCCTCACTTTCCTGACACCACCTCATCTATTCAGGATTAAGTGGACAACCAGTGCACTTGACTGTCAACTTCCATCACATGTTGCGTGCAAGCGGCTGCTCGCTGGGCAGGATGGCTCGCGTCTTGACCTTCGCGATGGATTCCAGGCTGTCAAGAACCTGATCTAGCAAGGTATGGTTGATGGGTCCGAGGGTGACCCAGGTAATTATCATTGAGGCATAGCATATGAAGGGTGGCATGCTTTAAATCAGCGAAGAAACCGTCGATGGCAAAGCTGAAAAGCGGGAGCTAGTCAGGGCATCAGGAGACTTCTCATTCGAAGGGCAGCATTTTCCAAGAATGCGTGCAGCAATGCTCCTTATTCCAGCAGAAGCAATTGCATGATCCTATATAGGTTCCTCTGCATGGCCCAGAAGTTTAGCCAAGAATCTTGAGCTCCTTAGGCTTCGAGTCTTGGTGGGCAGCATCCATAGTTTGTCGTGGGGCTCGTTTGGGCACCTGAGCTGATAGCTGGGATAACCGGCTAACCCTTTACCTAAGCCTGATCAGAAGTAGCAGTTCATCCCAGGAGCCTCGGGCGGGTTCGCAAGCATCTGCAGCTGGGCGTCGTGATCCAAGCCGTCGTCGGACGACTCTTCTTCTGAAGACTCACAGCTGCTCGCATCCTGGGAGCAGGCTTATGGCTGATTATAGTCGGGTAGGCTTCGGGGGATTTGAGGTTTCGGGCGGCGGGTTTCGGGTTGTGTGAAATTTAGGTTAAGAATGTAGAATCTAAACTCATTGTAGCAGAGACTCATTGTCCTTCGAAGGCAGATAATCCTTCAGCTCATTCTTTAGCTCCATAAGCGTTGAATTTCGGGAAGAACGTGCACGTCGAAGGAGCGGCTTGAACTTGGTAACCTCAAAAACTACAGTCATTGCAGAACCCACCTCGCGAGACCTAATGCCTGTGATACTTAACTGAACTGCCAAGAAACCAGTTTGCGAAGGGCTAGGCCAGCTCGGCATGCATAATCTCGTACAGCTTGGCTAGCTATAGTTATTCCCCTCGGCAAGACGTCGCTGTCGTTGAAATAATACAGGATAGCATCCATATACACGTACGAGCTCAATCGTCTTCGGCTTCGCGGGGTTCCACGAACTGCTGCAGCTATAGCCTCAATACTATAACAGTAGCATCTAGAGCACAGAACCTAATTTGGCCTAGCAAACTTGTACCTCTAAACAGCAACCGAGAATCCCGGGCATTTGCTATCACATCTTTGCGTGTGCAAGCACGTCGTTGACTAAGCAGTTTGCCACTGGTATCTACCAGCAACGATATACCTGCCTCAGATGTTTGAAGAACCCACACAAAGCAAATGCTTTGGCTCAGCTAAATATACAAATCCTACAACAATATGCTTGTTCGATCAAAACGATGCTATGCCCAGAAAAGTCACTGCGTGCAAACTCTCTTCTTTAGCCAGCTCACGAGCTACAGCTACTGCTTCGGACCCAGGCTCAAAAACGACCTTGCCCTTCTTCGGCGGCATGGTTTCACCCGCATGCACTACAAACCTGGAGCCACCTCGCCTTCGGAAGGAAAACAAGAGCTTCAAGCCGTCTCCAACACAGCACTGCCACATCCTGATTTCCCAACACACTCTTAAGCGGGGGGTGGGCGCACAGACAGCCTCGCAAAGATATGGCCCAGCCCGGCGTGGCATGCCGGGATCACCCAGCAAGCCATGATCGATGCACACATAAATCGCTTTCACAATGCTGCTATTTCTAAGCCATGCGGAATCATATCAGAAGCCTATGCAGCTCTTAAGAACTGAATTTCGGAATATAGAGCTCTGCCACTCGACTCATGAAGACTTGCGACTTATCGGCAAGAACTCAGCACGTGAAACCTGCAGCAGCATCCGTATCTGTGGGTTTTACAGGTTGAGAGCTGTTCATCGGTTTAAATTCGGCTTGCAGAACGGGGTCTTATAGAGGTTTTGGAGGCATGAGAGGGATAGAGCCTTCGAGGTTGGGGAGCTGTGGTTGGGGAGTATATCTGGCTACGGAAGCTGTTGCTTGGGATTCTGCCTACACATGCAGCAGCGGGATCTGTAGAGCTTTGGTTGTTTGGGAGCTGTTGCTGAAGAGTTCACATCTGCCTACACTAACAGCCCAGAGACTCCAATACCCGTCAATTAAGGAATATTCCTTGAATCATATTATAGGGATCCTTACTACAATTTAAGGAATATTCCTTAATTAACGGGTATTGGAGTCTCTGGGAGCTTGTGGGATCTTTGGAGCTTAGAAAATTCAGCTGTTGCCTGGGAGTCTGCTTGCGGTAGCAATATGGGACCTTAGAGCTTTATTTGGAGGCTGGGGAGTCGGTATAAATTGCTCGGGAGTACATTTGCCTACAGCAGCTGTGGGCTCTTTAATGGCTTTGGAATCTGGGAAGCTGTTGCTTAGAATTTGCCTACAGCACCAAAAGGATCTTTAAAGCTTTATTTGGAGGTTTGGGAGCTGTTGCTCGGGACTTCATCTGCCTACAGCAGCGCCGCGGGATCTTTAGAGGTTTTCGAGGATTTAGATTGGAAGTTGGGGATTGCTCGGGAATTGTGCCTGGGTACAGCAACGGGATCTTTAAATCTGTTGGAGATTGGAAAGCTGTTGCTAGGATAAGTGTGACTCGCGGGGCTGGTTTATCAGGCTTTAACCTGGGCTTGGGATTGCTAGTGCCCGAAACTCAACAGAATGCCGTGAATTCTATGAAATCCTTGGCCAAACGGATCCTCAGCCCCAGACCCACCAAAACAAAAACCGAAGCCAAACCCCAAACCCTGAACCTGACCCCAAATTCTAAAACCGCACAGCACAAAGCCCTGGTCTTGGAAACACTTTGGGGTCCCGGCAGGACGTACAAGTTTCGAGCATGTTATTCGTCTCTATGGTGTATATTTAGGGGTTAAGGTTTTTTCCACCGCACATTTAAGGTTTTTTTCACACCGAAAAGCACATGCATAGCTAGGGAACGGAGAGTTCAGTCAGTACGCAGACCGGACAAGCTTGGCAGGAATTCGGCTGGAAACCACAATTTTAATCACCACTGCCTGGAAAACACATTTCCTGGCCAATTTTCTTGAATTCAGTGCACTCATACAACCATACCCTGTACAAAGCAAAACCGGCGAAATACACAAAACAAAAAAAATTGACTGGTTAGCATGGGAAGTCCTCGGCACACCAAATTATATAGGTCATTTGAAACGCACCTTATAATAGGGCACATTCATTTGGGCGCACGCACGTATTTTTAAAGGACATCAGGTCTTCCAGGTTAGGGCCGTCGCCCGCGCCTACTGAGCAAAAAGAGCCGTGGTGCACCCAGGCAGGTGCACCACAGGTGCATCACAGGTGCATCACCCTCTCGCCGCAGCCTCTTTGCTCCGCTCGCTCCGCTCGCTCCGCTCTCGCCGCCATGCCCAGCTTGGAGCAGCCCGGCCTCAGCCTGCTGTCGTTCATCTACTCGGGGGATTGGCTGTCGTCCAGTTGCAGCCCGGAGCTTCGGGAGGTGCACCTGCGCACGATGGTCCGTAACATGATTTGGGCAGGCGGCCACAGCCGCAGCCTGGAGATGGCGAGGGACGTGCTCGCGCTGCGCTGCGTCAACCGGGGCTTGCGGAACATCGTGGACGCTTCCCAGCTGCAGGGCTTCCATCAGGAGCTGCACGAGAGCTTCATCCGGACCTGCCTGGGAGGCGACCAGCGGGTCATGCGCATCTACCTGATGTCCATGTCCAAGCAGGCTGCCCGTCGCGAGGCCTGCAAGATCCACATGTTGAGTCTCCAAGTCTGGAGCGACGAGGTTGCTGAGATGGACTCTACGGACGAGGAAATCATGCGAGACGCGCGCCGCGAGGCCGAGTATTTGTCCGTCTACTGGACGCCCGAGAAGGTCGAGTTCCAGTGTCAACCAGGAGGCTGGGCTAAGGTTTACCTAGCGCCCCTCCCAGAAGGCGAGCGCCGCCTCATGGACGTCTGAGCCCTAAGGGCCCGCCGCGGGTTAGGAGTCGCACAGGCCTGCCCCGCCCGCAAAACAGGCATGATGCACCGCCGCAGGTGCATCACAGGTGCATCACAGGTGCATCACCCCCCGCAGCCGTTTCAGCTCGCTCCGCTCGCTCAGCAGTCATGTCGGGGGGTTTCGAGCGGCTGCCTTCGGGCCTCCTGGACGAGATCGCCAGCTTCCTGCAGCCGCGGGAGTGGCTGGCCAGGCCCGACATGCACCTGGAGTCCAGGCAGCAGCTGTACTGCATGGCCGAGCGCATGTGGGTCCATGACCGCTACAATCACCAGGCGATGGTCTGCGGGCGGGACGTGCTGAGCTTCGTCGGCTGCTGCCGCTGGCTGCGCAACGACCGCCTCGGCGGCCGGACGCTGGTCTTCCAGCGAGAGCTCCACTACGCCGTCATCTCCGAAAGCATTTACCGGATGGAAGCGCATGTGACCTGCCCGGCCCACGAGATCCGCGCGCTGGAGATGACCGCCGAAAGGATGTCGCCGGCCCAGGGGCGCCGCCACGCCATGGAGCAGTGCCGGCTGCGGCCGGTGCTCCGGGACCGCATGGCTCGCTTCCGGTGCGACCACGTGGTGGCGCGGATGGCGCGGCTGGACGCGATCAGGGCCGAGCCGCTGCCGGGCAAGATGGAGGAGCTCCAGGAAGGCGATGTCCTGGTGAGCCGGCTGATCTAGGTAGGTTGCTAGGTAGGCGCACCGCACAGGCCCGCCCGCAAAACAGGCATGATGCACCCAAGCAGGTGCACCACAGGTGCACCACAGGTGCATCACCCCTCCCCCTCCCCGCAGCCGTTTCAGAGTCGCGTGTGCAAGTGTAGCCTGTAAGCTTTCGACCCAATGGCTGCCGCCTTAGTCGGCGAATTCGCCTTGAAGTGGCTCTTCGAGACTTACTTTCCGCTGCACGCGGAGTTCACGGAGCGGCCGCAGCCGCTGCTCCAGTACAGCCGCTTCTGGCAGTGCAGCTGCGACTACCGCGCCTGGGCGAAGATCATCCTGCGCTGCCTCCTCTGCGGCGCGGTCCCGCCGCACCGGCGCTTCGAGGTCCGCTTTCAGCTGCAGCGCGCGGGGCGCCTGGCGGGCGTTTGCGAGGAGATCGAGACGCGCGACGTGCTGCGCGCCAGCTGGATCCTGGACCGCCCCGTGGTGCCCGCCAGCTGGGGGCTGGGGTTTCCTGGTGGGGGAGAGACCGACGAGTACCTCCACCTGGTCGACGCCACGCTGCCCGAGCGGCCCGCTGACGCTCCTGGGCTGCCGCTCGAGGGCGAGGCTCCTGATATCTCGCCGCGGAGTCTGCAGGATGCGAGGGAGTACATGGAAGCTTTGGTGGATCAGCACCTGAAGGGTGGCGTCTGGGACCTTGGGTCCGATTCCGACGAAGACGAGGACTAGGTAGGACGAGTAGGTTGGTAGGCGAAGCGCACAGGCCCGCCGGCAAAACAAGGTCTCCGCTGAATGGGGTTCTCGGCTTTGCCCCTCGCCATTGCCATGCCCAAACCCTAAACCCTAGGAGCCAGGGGGGGGGCCCTTTTTGCGCGGCGAAGCGCGCCGGTGGCGGCCAGTGACCTGTGCGCCGGGAAGGGGGGCCCGGGGATCCCGGATGCAAGGCAGCCTAGGGTACCCAAAGGCCCTACTCGGGACTTAAGACCCTGAACCGAAACCCAGCAACCCCACAGGAACCCTGGGCACCTGCACTCCAGACCTTGCTGCCTCAACGCCTTCCAACCTTCGAAATAATAGCCCTGAACCAAACCCGAACCTCGCGCACACAGACCTGGCAGCCTACGGAACCCCAGCCCACCTCACAAGCCCTGAAACCTTGGAGGGAGTGCCCGGCGCGACGCGACGAGGTCCGGACCTGGGCGGGAGCAGGAGGCAGGGAGGTAGGACGGGGCAGGACTCGACAGGCAAGCCACTAAGCAAGCGCTCGAAGACCTTTTTTGCGCCACCCCTCTGTCCGTCGGGGCGCTGCGCTCCCGATCACATCTCGCAAAGGATTTCGCGGACCTGGCTCAGGTGCTCTTCGCCGTCCTCCAAGCGGAGCATCTTTCTCTTCGGATCGTATGCCACGAACTTTGCCACGCCCCTGCCGTCCATCACCGCGATGATGCCATAGGGCGCGGGGTCGGCCGTGAGGAGCGCCTCGAAGTCGCTCACGATGCTGCGGTAGCCCTCCTCCCAGTAGCCCCAGCAGCCGCACAGCCGAGTGGGGGCGCGCACGAGCATCTTGACCCGCGACGTCGGTATCATCTTGCCGTCTACAACGAAGAAATCTGAGCCGTGGCACTGCGTCAGCTCCGGGACCATCTCGACGACCTCAGGCTTGCCCTCGTTGCGGCGGATCTTGTAGATATGCAAAACGGCTTGTCTCCGCAAAATTAAAAGTCTAAGCTGATTGCCGGCGTGGCGGAGGCAGCCCTTCACCACGTAAGCTTCACCATCCTTGACCTGGATGTCGAAGCCTCCATGGTCGCCGTGGATGCGGATGGTCTCGGGGGGTTGGCGCTTGGCATCCTCGCGCTCGCGCCACTCGCGCTTCAGCTCCTCCTTCCTGCGCTCCTTGCTGCTGCCTTCGGCGCCACCCTCCTTGATCTCACCCTGCTTCGGCGGCCGCTTCTCGCGCTTCCGCTTCTTGCAGTGGCCCTGGCCCTGCTTCGGCGGCTGCTTCTCGTGCTTCAGCTCCTTGCGGCGCTGGACGCCCTCGTTGCGCCGGCCCTCCAGCTCGGCGAGCTCTCTCTTGCACGACTCGAGCTCCTCCTGTGTCAGTTCGCGACCAAGGCCCATCTTGGCGGTGCGCATGTGACCGTGCTCCACCTTGAAGCGGAGGTTCTGGAGAGACCCCTTTCCAGGCGCATGCTTGCTCGGCATGATCGAGGGGAATTGGAGTAGTTTTCAACTAGCAAACAGCGCACCTCCGCTAAGCGTCACTGACGGCTGAGATCAGCTGCGGGATTGAAAAGAGCTGGACGAGGCAAGCAAGCGGACACTGGCTCTTCAAGCACGCACCTGCACTCCTAGTGGCGACCCTCCGACTTGCGGGGGCCCGGCCAGCCAAGCGACGAGGTCAGACCTGGGCGGCGAGAGCAAGGAAGAGGGAGAGGGGCGGGGAAGGAACGCAGGGCACTACCTGGCAGCCTCAGAGCCCCTACAGCCTTCCAACCTAAGAAAAACCCTGAACCTCGCGCACACAGACAGCCCTACCTGCACTCCTACCGGCGACCCCTCCTACCGCAGCACTCTGAGTTCCCGGCCGCGCCCGCCCGTCCCTGACAGCCCGCCCCACCCCGCCCACCCCCGACCCGGCTTGAAAGGAAGAGCGGCGCGGAGCAGAGTCAAAGCAGCAGCGGCAGCAGCAAAGGGGTTCGGGTCAGGGGGGTGCCGAGGGATCGGGAGTGCAGGGACGCGGGGTTCGGGCAGCCTACGGGGATCAAAGGGGGAATCGCGCACACAGCTCACACTCACTTGCAGGGGCACTCGACAGGCACTCCTTCGGGGATCGAAGGGGTTAGGGACCCTGAACGCCCGGAACAAACCCACTAAACCAACCCACCCCCAGACACGTTTCTTTCAAAAAGCGGCAGAGAACGCCACCCCTCAGGTGCCGCCGCCCACCACCCAAACCAGGAACCTGCTCCCTCGGCCACTAAGCCTAAGGATTTTAAGGTAATATACGCTGCTACAACTGCTACTTCTCCAGCAGGTTCCCGGTTTGGGTGGGGGAGGCTCGTGGTGACACGTGGCGAGCTGGCTCTGTGCTGGCTTGGCTTTGTTACCCTATGCTGCTGTGCTGTGTGTGCTGCTGCGTGCTGCTGTGTGCTGCTGGCTGCTGTTTGCTGCTGTTTGCTGCTGTTTGCTGCCAGCCCATCAGCCATCTAACGCAAAACGACCCGACCATCCACGATGCGGGGAACACCACCGCCGGCTCCATGGTCGTCCGGAGGATCTTTGTCATCATACGGATTGCGCTTGGCCAGGGGGACGCTGTCGGGCGCCTCGCATGGACGCTTTTTTCTGTCCCGCTTCTTCGGCTTCACCGAATCCTCCTCCTCCTTCGGCTTCTTCGAATCCTCCTTGCTTGGCGGCGTCTTTGCCACCGATGTCCTTGCCGCCGCAGCTGTGGCGGCCCGAGGCTTCGGCGAAGAGGAATCCAACATCGCCACCCGAGGCGGCTTTGCAAAACTGGCCGTCGGTCTCTCCAGGCAAAGCAGCCGACTTTTAGGATTTTCAAAGCGAATAAGGCAATGATGACAAGTGCCGCAAGGAGCAGGACCTTGACCGCCTTGGCCTTGCATGTCACGCCCCATCTGGGCAGCGATCAACTGCGCGAGGTCGTTGAGCTGCTTGCTGTGGGTCTGCTGGACTTCTGCAAGCATCTGAGCCTGATGCCGCACCTGCACCATATGCTGCTCACGTAGCTCGCTGCGGTCAGACACCAGCTCTTGCAGCATCCGCTGAAGCAAGGATAGCAGCTGCAGAACCAAGGGAAATTGGGCACCTTCGAAGTGTCCTTGAGCGATGTGCTGCTGAACTCTCTCGCGAACCTCCTGCTCGAGCCTCTTCTCGTACTCCTGCCTTATCTCGGCATTCAGCTCATCTCGCTGCTGTCGCTCCAGCATCTCCAAGTGCCGCTGGTTGGCAGCAGCCTCTGCCCTCTGTCGCTGAAGCCGGGACTTCTCGCGAGCCTCTCGCTCAACCCGCTCCTGGTGTGCCACCTCCTGACGGCGAAGCTCATCCTCCTGTTCCTCCTTGTCAGCTGCGGCAGCCTCGGTCTCGGCTCTGTGCAGGATGCGCTCAGCCCTGGTCGTGGAGGAAGCAGAAGCTGACTCTGCATCAGTGAGCTGGTCCTGCGCAGCATTCTGCGGAGCCTCCTGCGCAGCCTCCGGCGAAGCCTCCTGCGGAGCCTCCTGCACAGCCTCCTGCGGCGCCTCCTGTGCAGCCTCCGGTGCAACTGCAACAGGAGCTCCCTCCTCACATGTCGGAGCCACAACCCCACTTGCTGCCAGGATCAAGAGGTAAAGAAGCATGCTCAGTGACCAGCCAGCCATCATCTCGCGCACAGGGTCTTCCGTGGCTGCTAACTGAAGCGTGGCTGAGTGAGCTCTCTGCCTTGAACCGCGCGCACGGGTGACGAAAGGTCAAGCTCGGATGAGGGGATGGGGGGAAGGTCAGCGGTCAGCTCCACACTCAGCTCCACACTCATGTCAGCACATGATACGCAAAATCCTGCAAAAATCGGCATGCGCGCACAAATGATTCGGACCTTCCTGGACCCTCCCGGACCCTAATGGACCCTCCCGGACCCTCCTGCACCACCCCGGAGGACCCTCCCAGGCCCTCCCGGACCCTCCCGACCCTCCCGGACTCTCCCGTGCTCTCCCGGACCCTCCCGGACCCTCCCGGACCCTCCCGGACCCGTCCTCGACCATCAGTTTTCAAGCAAGAGAAGATGCAGCCTCAGAACTCCCGTTCAGAAAGATAAACCCAAAGCTGTGCAGTTCTTTGCTGAAATGACGCAAGGCGGCACAGGTGCACCACACTCCCGCCCGACCGTGGTGCACCAGCCCCCGCCCGACCTGCCTGGAATAAAAACATTTCCCGTGATGTTCTGACGACGACGCGGCGACGACGAGTTGGCGACGCGACCTGCAGATGCACCACACTCCCGCCCGACCTGCCAGGAATAAAAACATTTCACGTGGTGTTGTGACGACGGCGCGGCGACGACGAGTTGACGACGCCACGGCACAGGTGCATCACCCCCCGACCGTGGTGCACCACCCCCCGCCCGACCTGCCCGGGATAAAAACATTTCCCGTGGTGTTGTGACGACGGCGCGGCGACGACGAGTTGGCGACGCCACGGCACAGGTGCATCACCCCCCGACCCGTGTGACCACAACCGCCCGACCTTGGCCGGGATAAAAACATTTCCCGTGGTGGTTGACGACGGCGCGGCGACGACGGAGTTCTAGGCGACGCCACGGAACACGGTGCATCACACACGACCGTGAGTTGCAACGCCGAAGGTGCCCCCAAGGTGATCACATGTGTGCACCACCCCCGACCGTGTGATGCCCCCACGACGAAGGTGCACCACAGGTGCATCACAGGTGCATCACCCCCCCCAACCACGGCGATAACCCGCACAGCCCTGAAACTGCCACAAAGCTGCGGCCTCTCTCTTGTATAGCGGGGTCTACGGCCCACAATCGATCATCCAGAAGGGAGCTGATTCAAAATCGAAAGGGTGTTGGGCCTACAGCCTCGGGTCAAAAACGAAAGATCGACAGGGCTCAGGGCCGTAGGACGCAACGATCTTCGGCCCTTTAGGCCCAAAATTGGGACGAGCCAATCGGAGCTCGACGATTGTGGACCCGAGCGGACCGAGCGAGC